TTCTACTACTATAATACTGTACTTATTACCTGGTACCCTCAGTAGTTATGCTACTAAACCGAGGGTGTAAAATAATATGCCAGCTGGAGCAAAAGGTTGCTGAAGCTCACCTGTAGTATACGAGGAAGTAGCAGGAGTCCAGAGGGAGGTTTTTGGGGCGGGACCATGTCAGGGTGATGGCACCCAAGAAGTCAGGGGTCCACTGGAGGTTCTGGACTTTATAGGCCCGGCTGTCCACTAAAGAAAGAGGGGGATTCCTCAGTTTAGTTTCATCACACAGCCTGAAATAAACACCAAACAGCCACCAAGTGGCAGCATTGCACTGATTCTAACAATACTAGATGCTGCTTAAAGGAACTGAAGCTGTTATCTTAAAGACACCAGACTCTCAGAATACAGCAGCTGCTGGTCTACTGCTGGTCTACTGATGCCTCCATCGGTTAGTTATAAAGACATTCACCAAAGTCACACAATAAAGTCTGGTGTCTTTAAAGAGAGCAGAGATAACGGCTCCAGTTCCGTGAAAATATTCTAAATATGTTTCTCCAAACTCCACCTACAGTAGAAGTACGCTGAATGTAGAAGTACTTCATACAATCACACTTAAAAACCCTTTAAGTGCCTCAAAGTACTGAAGCAGTCATTGAGTTGATCCCAAAGTGAGCATCTTATGAAAGGCTAACATCCTCAAACCATCCACTCCTGCGTAACCTGAACCCGGTGGACCTACGGCTGCAGTTGTCCTCGTCGCTGTGGTCCGAGCAGTCCAGGAAGCCGTCGCAGCGCTCGCCGTCCAGCACGCAGGCTTCCCCGTCAGAGCAGCGAGTCCCGTTCACACAGAGCAGAGGCCCTCGAGTGGCTGCAGGGGGAGAGGGAGGATTACCCGCATCTCATTATGAACCACTGACACGACTGTACGTAGTGATGGAAAGTACAAGAATACCGTTTCATGTTTCCTGTGCAGCGCAACCAACGTTTTACGTTTATTCGAATTATAAATGTATCTAAGGATCTAAACTCTACAGCACGTTGTATTCCGCTCAAATCTGTGTGTGTGATGGTGTGTGTGTGTGTGTGTGTGAGATAGTGATAGTGTGTGTGTGTGTGTGTGTGTGTGATGGTGTGTGATAGTGTGTGTGTGTGTGTGATGGTGTCACGCTCTGCAGGGACTCACGGCAGTGGGCTTCATCGGACCCGTCCTGGCAGTGGGACTGGCCGTCACAGCGCTGCCAGTCGGGGATGCAGTGGGGGGGTCGGCGACACAGGAACTGACCCCGGAGGCAGCGCGTAGGGGAGGGCGGGGCCTGAGTGGGGGGCGGAGCCATTGTCGCAGAGCCGTTAGCTGCTGTTAGAGAAATATTAAGTTAAAATTTGTATTCCTTTTCTGTTCATTCTTGTTTTTCCCCTTTAATTGTTTAATTGTTTTATTGAGGTTGATATCGATGCACATAAGAATAACCCTCCACAGGTGATCAGGCAGAGGCGGTACCTGTGGGACATCCCAGCTCATCGCTGCCGTCGGGACAGTCGGCGTAGCCGTCACACACCCAGGTGTTGATGATGCAAGCTCCGGAGCCGCAGTGGAAGCGGTTGGGGGCACAGGTGGAGGGGCCGGGGGTCACGGCGTGAGGAGTGACTCCACCTGCCAGGGTGGAGGTTCAAAGTTTAAGGACCGAGGAGGGAAACTCATTCACGTTCTTTCTGTAGTATTTTATGCACATGAATAAATACTAATATAATTCATATTTTGGTTACCTCGACAGCATGTGATAAAGCCCACGGTGTTTACACGCTGTAGCAGATCAGCAGGTTTAATGTGTGACCTGTGATAACACACAGACCTCAGTGAGCGTACCTGTACACTGGGCCTCATCAGACCAGTCCCCACAGTCGTTCTCTCCATCACACTTCCACCACGTCGGAATGCAGCGTCCATTCTTGCACTCGTACTGGAAATACCTGGAGCAGCCGGGGACCTCAGTGGGAGCCGCTGCAGCGCACAGGAAGAGAATCAGATATACATGCACCTGTGTTTTATTTATAATGTGCATACAGTGTGTGTGTGTGTTCCTGTGCTTCTCTGAAGAACGCTTCCTGCTCA